TGTGTATGTATGTATGTTATTTGTGTGTACATATGAGTGTAGTATATATATATATATATATATATAAGCGTACCTTTGGATACATACACATCAACCCATATGTATCTATATATACATTTGATAGTTATATATTTTTATACATGTGATAGCTACATATATATATAAATATATATATATATATATATGTGTGTGTGTGTTTATTTTTCTATATATATATGTATGTATCTATGTATATTAGTATATAAGTATATAAATATATATTATGATGTTATGTTATGTTATGTCATATATATGCATATATATATATATACATATATGTACGTATGTAAATGTGTGTGTATGTATGTATGTATGTGTGGGTGTATATATGTAGCTATATATGTATGTATATTTTTTCATATATATATAAATATATGTATATGCGTGTATATATATATGCCGTATATGTGTATTTGTGTGTGTTTTTTAATATTGTTTTTGTGTACGTGCGTGCGTGCGTGTGTGTTTGTGTACGTGCGCGCGGGAGTGTTCGTGTACGTATGTGCGTGAGTGTTTGTCCACGTGTGTGCGTGAGTGTTTGTCCACGCGAATGTGTGAATGTTTTGTATATAAACATGCATGGGTGTTTTTTCTCTCGATATGATCTCCGTTAGACTATGATGTACGCAAATATGTTAATCAGATATCTACATCATTGACAGGTATAAGGGTCTCGTTGAGTCAGGTGCATTGAAGGAGACAGTGTTGTACAATGTGATGGTGGCTATACCGCCTCATGACTACCCAGGACGATCGAATAAAGTCAAATCCATCAAATTCCCAGAAGACAAGCTAAGAAAGTATGCTGATTGTTTCTGATTAAGTGTGTAGGAGATACAATTCCTGTCTACGCTAGACATCTGCCACTTCCATAGGTCTGGAGTTACTGAGCAGCTAAATAGTCTGTGTTTAAGGCCTTTCTGCATTCTGTTTCGTGCAAATTCATCCAATAATATTATGTTTCCTCATTTGATGACATTTTAATGGTGGCATGGTTGAAAGTCTTTGCTCAAAATCGCGTACCGTTACCCATTTCACAGGAAGTTCTACGACAGTCAAGTAGGCAAAGGTACCGAAGCTACACCCTTGTACGAATCATCTGCGAGGAGTATATGTGATGAGTAAGTGGTTTGATGCTATAGGATTACGGTGAGGATTTGACTTGCTAAGTAGTGCGATAAGTTTGTGAATGACGAGTAAATGTATGTGCATGTACATACTCGCATATTTGACGTATATGCATGATTCCAACTATCGAATGCAGGAAGGTCATGCACCAGCATAATTTCTTAGTCTACATATATATATATATATATATATAATATAAATCATATACTTTTCATTGCTTGCCCTCTACATAGATTTGTCAAGGTACAGAAGGAAATGATGAGCAAAAAAATGTCTGAAGCCGAGGCTTTCGCGGAAGCCGAGACAATCATCAACCAGCGCATGAAGAATACGTCACCCGTGTCTAAGGCAGGGAAGAATAGTCAGAAAGTCATACACGACCTATTGCAGTCGATAAAAGGTGTGATAATATATATATAGTATTATGTGTATATTTGTGTACTTGTTTGTTTGGGGTGTTGCATGAGTGCGCTCGCTCCTAGTCGACAGATTTCAAGGATCCAAGGAGGTAGCAAATATTATAACTGTTCACATCCATTATATCTATCTTTATCCGTATTTGTTTTTGCGTGTCTAGGGTTAACTTGGACCTATATTCTTATATATATGTCGTCATTTTTTTCTCACGTATGTCTATACATATATATATCACTTTGCTGCGTATGTGCTTTGACGCAGCCGACAAGATGTACTCATAGGCACATCAGCGTCGAATATAGTACAACGTATACAGTGTCGAATGTGGCTGCCTGGGCTCCTAAAGATCAAGTAAAATGTATCCTAATATAGCGAATAACGCATGTAACTAGCCGCAGTGTATATGGCCCACTTTTCAGGAGCATTGAAGTATCCGTTGGTATGTCGGTATTTCGTTTTTATGTTTCGCTAGTGGCTAAGGCACACCCTGTAGAAGATATATATCATATATTATATATTTATATAAATATATTATATATATATATATATATATATATATAAATACCATAGTTGATATGGATCGAACTCATTGCAGACTGCCGAAAAGAAAAATTTATTCGAGAGGCGCAGTTTTAGATCTGATATTTAGATTCAGCTGTTGTTTATCGCGCATGTGATTGGAACATTTGCAATATTCGCTCAGCTGTAAGTGCTTTCAATGTGGAAATTCTCTTCGTTGTAGAATGCACTCGCCCAGACATTTCTATGAGCCAACGTTCACGTTTTTAATCAATATCTCGTTTCTCATTTTTATTTCATCAGATGCGCAAGCTAACAAAATGTTAGGAGGCGCAAAAGGTATGTTATCTAATACCACCAGCGGGTTTATGAGTACTACGCTTCGATATATAAAAATTGATTTGTTTTGA